TCATTGTCCTCACTTTTTCCTAACCAAAGAGCCACTGTCCATCTGTTTAAATCCTTTTATGTGTGTACATGAGCAACATGTAGATTAAACTCTAATTTATTCCAGCTCAAGCAAGGATTAATTATACTCTAACACTGGATGCCACTCGCAAGGCCCCAAACAACAGAGCTTACATCACTGAGAACCAACAAGAGAAGACTGGATCGATTATTCTTGTTTTAAATGAGCAAAAATGCCTCACCGAGAACTTCCTTATTGATGTGAGTTGTTTAACATCTTTAACAATAACATCAGGGAAACTTACCACAACCCAAAGACTGGAAAAATCCTTTTTTTTAAGCCCATGCTATTTTAAAGAGTCCTGCAATAAGTCACTGAATCCAGTGCAACCTTCATAATAATTGTGCCCTCTTCTTGCAGGCTTGTCCAGAAGATGCTCTCAATGTACTTTCCAATGAGCTCAAGTTCACCTTTGATGGTCTGCCCTCTAATACAAATCTCAAACCAAGTCTCTCCCAGCAGGCTCAAACGACAACTATTCATCCTGTAAGTGACCTTTAGAGACGCCCTTGTCTATTGGTCAGTTTTGTACTTGCTAACACTTCTTACACGTGGTTCAGAGTATTAACCGAACAACAAAACCTAGTCTTTACAAGATTAAGAACACAGCTTCACTTTGGCTACTACTTTTTGGGAATTCATTTCCTAGTTGCCACATAATTGACCACTTTATATTAGCTACTATGGCGAGTTCTACAGCAATATGAAATGTGCAGGAATCAATATTGTAAATTTATTTGTGAGAACAGGTGGACAAACTTAAACTGCAATGTCTTTACTGTAACACTTTCTGAATAAATATGTTCACGCTCTCTTCCACAGTTAGGGTTTGAGATCAACTGCGGCAATGACAACAACTGTGTTGATAACCTGAAAGTGGATTTCAACTTCACAAGGTGAGATACAAAAGTGACACCTAACCTGAGTGTGTGAGCACATGTTTACTTTGCTCATTTCTGCAAGTACAAAGAGTTTCAGTTTTGAGGTTGCAGACACGGTAGTAAAAGAAAATAGCAGGGATGTCAGTTATCAGTCGGTTGGTCAGTTCAGGCTTAAATATCTAAAGAACTGCTCGATGGATTGCCATGAGCTTAGGTAAAGATATTCATGGTTCCCAGATGATGAATCCTAGACTTCAAAGATCCTTTGTCTTTCTCTTTATTGCCACCTAGTGGTTTTAATTTGCTTTTACTTAAAAAGCTTCAACAGCTGGGTCATGACATTTGGCACACATATTCATGTCTCTCTCAGGATGACTTGTTATCATATTGGCGATTCCTTAACTTTTCATGCAGCAACATCGACAGGGTTTCAATTTTATTTGTCCAGTTCTTTGGTTGATGATCAAATACATTCAAAACTAATGACACTCCCGTGAGCCTTAGTTGTACTTGTACTTAGTTTTGTGCTAATTGGCAAATGTTCGCATGCTAACACACTAAACTAAGATAGAAAACATGGGAAATGTTATAGCTACTTACTATCAGTATGTTAGCGTTGTCATTGAGAGCATGTTAGCATTTAGCCAAATTGCTGTGCCTACGTAGGGCCTCAGAGAGTTGCTAGCACGCCTGTAGTCTCTTAGACTTGTTTTCCTCTCCCTTCACTTTTCTCTTTTTTCATAATCTGCCAGATCCTCAGAGGTTAAAGTGGGCATTGATGAACTGTTGAATGTCACTGTAACAGTGGAGAACAGTGGTGAAAACTCCTACAACAGCCGTGTTATTCTCACATACCCAGCTGGGCTCTCTTACAGGAAGTTCACAAGTCTGCAAGTAAGGCATGAGGATGTAGTCGGTTTCAGTTCATCTCTGGTCGGCTCCTCTCTTAGGTCATCCAGCAATTGTGGTTGATGTTTGCTTTTGTGTTTCATATAGGGAAGAATTGAGTGCAACTCACTGGACAGTGAGGATGGATTATCACGAGGAAGGACAGACTGCACCATAGACAAACCTATTTTCAAGAGCAACACTAAGGTTTGTATTTTCTTGTACAGCAGCATCTCTTCTCATTGCTGCAGTGACAGTCGATCAAACTCTCATTCTAACTCTTTCACGTTAGGCTTCCTTCATCGTGTCCTATGGGATCGAAACCAACAATCAACTTCAGAGGAGGATTTTTGTCACTGCAAATGCCACCAGGTACTGTTCAGCTGCCTGTGAATAAGCACAACACTATGCACCAAGCCTGTAGGTGTTCACTAGTCATATGTTAATTTCACTTCTCTCTTTTAGTGGCAATCTCGAACACTCCAGTTCAAATGAGCTTTACAAAATGAGAGAGATTGATGTGAAGTACAGCATTTTCGTCACAGTTGAAAGGTTTGTGTTGTTCTGTGTGAGACAAAAGGAATTCATTTTAAAAAAAGTAATCATTTTAAGTTGACACTGTATTAAGTAATATTAAAAAAGATGTTTAATATGTGTGTGTTTAATCTGTTTAGTTCCCTCAGCTACAACAATTTCACTTATGGAAAGAATGATTTGCAGAAACCAGTCCAACAATCACTTGTGGTGAAATATCTTATATGATAGTATCAAAAATTATTTTAATGTTCATTACCTTGATTCTGTCTTGACTTTAATGCTTGTTTAGACTCTTGAGTACCAACCATTTCTTTTCACCCTTTCTTTTAGGTTACAAATGATATCAGAGCGCTGAATTTCACTGTTGTGATCAAGGTGCCGGTAAAGCTCGGTGATAAAGACATCTGGGTGGATTCAGACAGTTTGCAGGTAATGATCCCAAAAATATGTCTTTTTGTGCAACTACAGCCTCATGGACGGGCAGATGGATGGACATGGTTAAATGTAAGGACCTGTTAAACTGACATGAATCGGCTCTATTTCAGATTCCAAATTGCCAAAGAGACACGGATGAACAAGCTAGTGTCAAAGATTTTGTTGCTCAGATACAGAAAAATAAAGTAGTGGTAAGTACGCCTCTACCATCTACATTCTGGCATGTATATTTAGAAATGTACATTGCACTGCATTACAGCTTTCTCTGCTTTCTACCTTCTCTTAATCGCTCACAGGACTGCTCCGTAGCCAAGTGCAGAGTGTTCAAGTGCACTAGGTTCATGGGAAGACTGGAGAGTAGGAAGTACAAAATCTCTGCCAACCTTAGCTCAGGATGGATAGAGCAGGTAACTGATGTGCATGTGTAATACAACAACTGGTCCCAAATATTACATATTTATATTATATTCAGAAATAACAATTAATAAAACTGAACATCACTGCAGATCAAGTCAAAAGGCTCATCCTATACCCCTGTATTTCTCAACAGATTGGACTTAAGTCTGCCAAATTCCTCTTGACCAGCACGGCCAGTCTGGAGTACGACAGGAACCAGTTCATCTTCTTTTCAACAGGGTCTAATAACAACCCTCCCATTCGCAAGGTGATTACACGTTAAAATTCTCTTTATTTGTGCTCTTAAATGAGCTTGAATTTGATCCTCATTGTGTCATTTCACCTCACAGATTAAGGCAGAGGTAGAAGTGTATCCAGAACCAAACTTCACCAAAGAGATCGTCGGAGGATCCTTGGGAGGGTTGGCTCTACTGGCTTTACTCACTGCTGGCCTGTATAAGGTGAGATACTGTATATACATTGTTTCAGTTTATTATACGGCTTGATGGAGACAATGAAGCCACTATAAGGTGTGCTACTGGGTCACCATTACTGCAAATTGCACCCAGTCAGTGTCTTTTCATTTTCAAATACTCAGCAGTTGTTCTCACATCTGGTTTGGTTCTTTGTTTATGATGCAGCTCTAATGCAGGATTGCAGTGTTTTTGGATAATTTTCTGTATTTCTTTCTCTCAGGCGGGATTTTTCAAGAGTAAATACCAGGAAATGATTAATGACGCAGGAGGGGAAGGTGCAGGGGCTGATGAAGGTGGAGCCACACCAGACCAAGCATAACATCTATTTCTATCCCACTGACACTGGCTGTTTCCAGATCCAGCACAATCCCAATGTTAGCCTGCTGATTGCAGCTGGTCACAAAACAACAAATCTCCAGTGGCATTTTTACCACTTTTACCATTCCTTCACTTTTGATTCATTAAACTAGAGAAGAGCCTGGCTGTGTCCTGAAATCACTCCCTCAATCAAATGAAACAAAGGAAAACCACACATGTACCATGTGACAAGATCAAAACTAGACAAAAAGGTTGGGAACCAGATTCAAATAAAGTGGCAGAAGGTTAATGTAGTGCATTATGTATATTACATGGGGAGAGATTCTGAACACAGCCCAGGCGCTTCAGGCAGGTTTTGCAAAGTGACATTTTGAACTAAACAGCCGACTGTTGGTGTACAGTGAATCATTTCTGCGTTTCTATTTCTGCTAAGAATATGTGTTAGTTTGTACATTTTGTATTAGTCATGTGAAAAAAAATCAACACGGTATGATCGGCTGGATTCGGGTTTTCATCACATAAGGTACTGTAAAACTGTTATGCTTAGGAGCTGCTTGCTAAAAATAACAATTTAATGCACTTTTTCTTGACAATCTGAATTGCTTTGTTTAGGGACAAATGATAAGATATGTAATATTGAGCAATAAGTATGTAGAATTTATGGAAAAGACATTTGTTTTATGCTTCATCAATATTTATTATATACTGTCACATTTCATTTGTCTGAATCATACATGACTCAGAGAAAACAGGTACAATATGATGGAACAGAGAATAAATATCATGAAAAATACTGTCCTTCATTTTTTTCCTTCAGGATTAAATGAAACATTTTGAAAAAGATATTTCCCTGTACAATTGTATTACAGTAAAATACCTTCTGTTGTTATAAAAATATAAACTTATTTGGAAGTGCCTCGTGATGCATTCTCTTTAGTGTGACCTGAGTATCATTTACAGTACACAATATAAACGTAAGGAAGAGTGGTCAAAGCTATCGGTCAGCTTGACTTTTGAGTGCAATAATGAACTACTTCAGCCATCCCCAACCACAGACCTAACATCACAACAACAGGAACATGGAAGAAATGGGGACAGTGAAAGCAAAGAATAAGGAAATTGTGAAACCTGGTGCATTTCCTGTTGCAGCTGCTGCAGGAGAGGGCATGTCACCAACTGTCTCCTTCAAGAACGACCCAAATCTTGAAGTCTTTGCAAAGACCTGAATGTCTGCACGGACTGATTTACTTCCGCTCATTGTTACAACGGCCACCTGGAACCAAGATGAGTCCGACTTGCACAGTAGAGGGCTGCCCGTATCCCCCTGTGAAAAAAAAGGATTCATCATCAGTGAGGTCCTGACACTCCTAATTCAAAAGATTACGCTTTTTTTTTTCACTTTTTTTTTTACCTGCTGAAGGTCCATGGTATAAGTGCAAATGTTCTCCGAATCAGAAAAGTTCCCACAACTTGCCACTTGAGTTTCAAGGTCTCGAAGACCTGAGCCATCTTTATCGGTACCTAGAGAAATCCCATTTACCCACATGAGTACAGTTTGTGTGACTCATCAATCTCACCTATCAAAGATCAACTGAAATTATATTTGTCACAGTATATAAGTACAACTTGTAACAAACACAAAAGCTTGACAAATTCTTACCTCTGCTCTTACTCCCCTTCCCCCAGCCTGCCACCCAGCATGGGCTACCAATGGGGAAGGATCTGTCATTGCTAATGTCCACACACGCAGGCTGGATATAATCACTGTAGCTGACTGGTTTATCCAGCTGCAGCAGAGCAATATTGGAGCCCGGCATTTTGCTCAATGTAATGTTGACGACATCCAGAGACATCTCAAATTCCTCAAAATCGTTTACGCGTCTGTGGCCGAGAAACACGCTCCACTCCCGGACATTTGGATTGAGGCTGTAAAGAGGATAAAAGACATCATCAGAAATACATGTCCACTGGTTAATACTTTCAATGAATAATCAATACGAATTACTTTTATTCTTACGTAGAGAAGCACTGGCCACTGGTGAGGACAAATTTATCAGCGATGAGGGTTCCTCCACAAGTGTAGACCCCATTTCTGTGGAGACTCACCATCCAGGGCCACATTCCTCCTGGCACTACACTACTGTCACCAGTAGAACGACTGTTCATGGGAGCTTTGCCACACACTGACCCTTAAATAGGATATTTGATAAATGAAGAGATACCGAAATAAATTGCAGATAAAGGAAACAAAATAATCCAAATTGTATAAGTGTAAGAATTTGATTTGAAATATGCTTACTTGCAGGACTGGCTACACTTTGGGTGGTAATAGTTGGCCTCGTTGTTGGTGAAGTTGCTGGGGGAGGTGGGAGACCAGGACAGGTGTAGCTGCTGTCAGCATCCGGCCCACTGGAGCTGAACTGGACAAAGCCTGGCTTATCAGAGCTGATGAAGGAGTTGATCCAGGACTGGTAGCGGGACACTCTGGAGTAGACTCCTGGCAGATTGGGACGAGCGCAGCCAAAACCAAAACTGACTATTCCTGACTGGACCCACACGGAGCCCTGTTTGCTCACCATTGGACCTCCTGAGTCACCCTGAGGAGATGGAGAGGACACGTCTGAGACGGCGAGGAAATCCTAAACACATTTACCAACAAGTGACAAATGAAAAGAAGCAGCTGACCTGACATGAGTCTTTGCCTCCTGCCAGAACACCAGCACAGATCATGTTGTCTGTGACTGTACCGACTCCATTGAGACAGTTACACTGTCTGTTTCCCAGAACTGGCACCTCCACCTCTTGTAGAGTTTGAGGGAACGGTAAAGACACTGAGAGACCAACAAGAAGAGAAACAATTCATGCATCCGCCTACACTTTATGTGACTGATAAAACTGTTTTACAGCAACGAGCAGACTCACCTCCCTCGTTGACTCTGCCCCAGCCAGTGACCCAGCTGTCAGTACCGTTGTTGAACACACTGTCACTGGCTGCCAGACACACAGGTCTGATGTAGTCTGTGAACATGACTGGTGAGGAGAGTCTGAGCAGAGCAATGTCGTTGTCGCTGCTGTCGCTGTCATAGTTTGGATGTAAAATGATTCTGGCAACAGTTCTGGACACTTCATTTGGGTTTGTGCCCTGCAGGTTCTGACGGCCCAGAGAAACCTGCCATCCAGACGTACTTGTACTAAAGTCAAAGTGACAAATATGAATTAGTTTGAAGATGAAAATCATCACCAAACACAGACTGAGACACACAAATACATCCTCTGTTATATAGTAGTTACCCACCTGGAGAAGCAGTGAGCAGCAGACATCACCCACTCTCTGTTGATGAGGGAACCGCCACAAACATGGCCGCCAAACCTCTGCAGACTGACCTGCCAGGGCCAACTTCCAGGTGGAGCATCTTCACCTCCAACTATCCTGGTGTTCAGGGGAGTGATGCCACACACTGCAAACAACAGGACATAGAAAATGGATCTAAAGTTAACCATACTCACCTTTAAACTAAAATTACATAATTTATTGAAAGTATATGAAGCCTGGAGAAGGTCTACTAACAAAGATATATTATTTAGTTACAAAAATCTAAAATGTAAATTAAATATGTTGCTCATTAACTAAAACCCATCAGTGTAAGATCTTGATTTTTTCCTGACTTTGGTAACTCCTAGTGGCAGTATGAGAAAAGACACTGTGGCAGACAGCAATGCATGAAGCTACCTCATCCCCCACATGAAGACGACACCAACATTCACTGGAATTGTAGAAATTCTTTCATAAAACTGTTATAAATTCAGATTAAAAAGAAATATGCAGTGATCACAAAAGCTCTTGAGAGTTGATTAACTAGTACTAAAAGCCAGTATGTGAAACTGTCTGCTCCAGGTCATTCTTCACTCTCACACTCAGGGGAGACAAACTGTGAATTTTTTAATTTTGCAGAGGGTCTCAATACATTACCAAACTGAGCAACAAGTGCTGAATGAAAAATGTAATAGGTTGTGAAATGTTGAGAATTCATGTCTGTTTTAAAAAGTTGGGTCATTGATAGTTTATAGTGTAAATAAGAGACAGAATGACCTGTGTGCTGTTTTCTATTTTCTGTGCTAGTCAGGATACTTACATTCAGCACTTGATACAGTGGATGGTGAATCTGTGGGTGTAGCTGGTCCTGCAGTAGTAGTAGTAGTAGTAATGAGAGGAGGTGGGAGACCAGGACAGGTGTAGCTGCTGTCAGCATCCGGCCCACTGGAGCTGAACTGGACAAAGCCTGGCTTATCAGAGCTGATGAAGGAGTTGATCCAGGACTGGTAGCGGGACACTCTGGAGTAGACTCCTGGCAGATTGGGACGAGCGCAGCCAAAACCAAAACTGACTATTCCAGACTGGACCCACACGGAGCCCTGTTTGCTCACCATTGGACCTCCTGAGTCACCCTGAGGAGATGGAGAGGACACGTCTGAGACGGCGAGGAAATCCTAAACACATTTACCAACAAGTGACAAATGAAAAGAAGCAGCTGACCTGACATGAGTCTTTGCCTCCTGCCAGAACACCAGCACAGATCATGTTGTCTGTGACTGTACCGACTCCATTGAGACAGTTACACTGTCTGTTTCCCAGAACTGGCACCTCCACCTCTTGTAGAGTTTGAGGGAACGGTAAAGACACTGAGAGACCAACAAGAAGAGAAACAATTCATGCATCCGCCTACACTTTATGTGACTGATAAAACTGTTTTACAGCAACGAGCAGACTCACCTCCCTCGTTGACTCTGCCCCAGCCAGTGACCCAGCTGTCAGTACCGTTGTTGAACACACTGTCACTGGCTGCCAGACACACAGGTCTGATGTAGTCTGTGAACATGACTGGTGAGGAGAGTCTGAGCAGAGCAATGTCGTTGTCGCTGCTGTCGCTGTCATAGTTTGGATGTAAAATGATTCTGGCAACAGTTCTGGACACTTCATTTGGGTTTGTGCCCTGCAGGTTCTGACGGCCCAGAGAAACCTGCCATCCAGACGTACTTGTACTAAAGTCAAAGTGACAAATATGAATTAGTTTGAAGATGAAAATCATCACCAAACACAGACTGAGACACACAAATACATCCTCTGTTATATAGTAGTTACCCACCTGGAGAAGCAGTGAGCAGCAGACATCACCCACTCTCTGTTGATGAGGGAACCGCCACAAACATGGCCGCCAAACCTCTGCAGACTGACCTGCCAGGGCCAACTTCCAGGTGGAGCATCTTCACCTCCAACTATCCTGGTGTTCAGGGGAGTGATGCCACACACTGCAAACAACAGGACATAGAAAATGGATCTAAAGTTAACCATACTCACCTTTAAACTAAAATTACATAATTTATTGAAAGTATATGAAGCCTGGAGAAGGTCTACTAACAAAGATATATTATTTAGTTACAAAAATCTAAAATGTAAATTAAATATGTTGCTCATTAACTAAAACCCATCAGTGTAAGATCTTGATTTTTTCCTGACTTTGGTAACTCCTAGTGGCAGTATGAGAAAAGACACTGTGGCAGACAGCAATGCATGAAGCTACCTCATCCCCCACATGAAGACGACACCAACATTCACTGGAATTGTAGAAATTCTTTCATAAAACTGTTATAAATTCAGATTAAAAAGAAATATGCAGTGATCACAAAAGCTCTTGAGAGTTGATTAACTAGTACTAAAAGCCAGTATGTGAAACTGTCTGCTCCAGGTCATTCTTCACTCTCACACTCAGGGGAGACAAACTGTGAATTTTTTAATTTTGCAGAGGGTCTCAATACATTACCAAACTGAGCAACAAGTGCTGAATGAAAAATGTAATAGGTTGTGAAATGTTGAGAATTCATGTCTGTTTTAAAAAGTTGGGTCATTGATAGTTTATAGTGTAAATAAGAGACAGAATGACCTGTGTGCTGTTTTCTATTTTCTGTGCTAGTCAGGATACTTACATTCAGCACTTGATACAGTGGATGGTGAATCTGTGGGTGTAGCTGGTCCTGCAGTAGTAGTAGTAGTAGTAATGAGAGGAGGTGGGAGACCAGGACAGGTGTAGCTGCTGTCAGCATCCGGCCCACTGGAGCTGAACTGGACAAAGCCTGGCTTATCAGAGCTGATGAAGGAGTTGATCCAGGACTGGTAGCGGGACACTCTGGAGTAGACTCCTGGCAGATTGGGACGAGCGCAGCCAAAACCAAAACTGACTATTCCAGACTGGACCCACACGGAGCCCTGTTTGCTCACCATTGGACCTCCTGAGTCACCCTGAGGAGATGGAGAGGACACGTCTGAGACGGCGAGGAAATCCTAAACACATTTACCAACAAGTGACAAATGAAAAGAAGCAGCTGACCTGACATGAGTCTTTGCCTCCTGCCAGAACACCAGCACAGATCATGTTGTCTGTGACTGTACCGACTCCATTGAGACAGTTACACTGTCTGTTTCCCAGAACTGGCACCTCCACCTCTTGTAGAGTTTGAGGGAACGGTAAAGACACTGAGAGACCAACAAGAAGAGAAACAATTCATGCATCCGCCTACACTTTATGTGACTGATAAAACTGTTTTACAGCAACGAGCAGACTCACCTCCCTCGTTGACTCTGCCCCAGCCAGTGACCCAGCTGTCAGTACCGTTGTTGAACACACTGTCACTGGCTGCCAGACACACAGGTCTGATGTAGTCTGTGAACATGACTGGTGAGGAGAGTCTGAGCAGAGCAATGTCGTTGTCGCTGCTGTCGCTGTCATAGTTTGGATGTAAAATGATTCTGGCAACAGTTCTGGACACTTCATTTGGGTTTGTGCCCTGCAGGTTCTGACGGCCCAGAGAAACCTGCCATCCAGACGTACTTGTACTAAAGTCAAAGTGACAAATATGAATTAGTTTGAAGATGAAAATCATCACCAAACACAGACTGAGACACACAAATACATCCTCTGTTATATAGTAGTTACCCACCTGGAGAAGCAGTGAGCAGCAGACATCACCCACTCTCTGTTGATGAGGGAACCGCCACAAACATGGCCGCCAAACCTCTGCAGACTGACCTGCCAGGGCCAACTTCCAGGTGGAGCATCTTCACCTCCAACTATCCTGGTGTTCAGGGGAGTGATGCCACACACTGCAAACAACAGGACATAGAAAATGGATCTAAAGTTAACCATACTCACCTTTAAACTAAAATTACATAATTTATTGAAAGTATATGAAGCCTGGAGAAGGTCTACTAACAAAGATATATTATTTAGTTACAAAAATCTAAAATGTAAATTAAATATGTTGCTCATTAACTAAAACCCATCAGTGTAAGATCTTGATTTTTTCCTGACTTTGGTAACTCCTAGTGGCAGTATGAGAAAAGACACTGTGGCAGACAGCAATGCATGAAGCTACCTCATCCCCCACATGAAGACGACACCAACATTCACTGGAATTGTAGAAATTCTTTCATAAAACTGTTATAAATTCAGATTAAAAAGAAATATGCAGTGATCACAAAAGCTCTTGAGAGTTGATTAACTAGTACTAAAAGCCAGTATGTGAAACTGTCTGCTCCAGGTCATTCTTCACTCTCACACTCAGGGGAGACAAACTGTGAATTTTTTAATTTTGCAGAGGGTCTCAATACATTACCAAACTGAGCAACAAGTGCTGAATGAAAAATGTAATAGGTTGTGAAATGTTGAGAATTCATGTCTGTTTTAAAAAGTTGGGTCATTGATAGTTTATAGTGTAAATAAGAGACAGAATGACCTGTGTGCTGTTTTCTATTTTCTGTGCTAGTCAGGATACTTACATTCAGCACTTGATACAGTGGATGGTGAATCTGTGGGTGTAGCTGGTCCTGCAGTAGTAGTAGTAGTAGTAATGAGAGGAGGTGGGAGACCAGGACAGGTGTAGCTGCTGTCAGCATCCGGCCCACTGGAGCTGAACTGGACAAAGCCTGGCTTATCAGAGCTGATGAAGGAGTTGATCCAGGACTGGTAGCGGGACACTCTGGAGTAGACTCCTGGCAGATTGGGACGAGCGCAGCCAAAACCAAAACTGACTATTCCAGACTGGACCCACACGGAGCCCTGTTTGCTCACCATTGGACCTCCTGAGTCACCCTGAGGAGATGGAGAGGACACGTCTGAGACGGCGAGGAAATCCTAAACACATTTACCAACAAGTGACAAATGAAAAGAAGCAGCTGACCTGACATGAGTCTTTGCCTCCTGCCAGAACACCAGCACAGATCATGTTGTCTGTGACTGTACCGACTCCATTGAGACAGTTACACTGTCTGTTTCCCAGAACTGGCACCTCCACCTCTTGTAGAGTTTGAGGGAACGGTAAAGACACTGAGAGACCAACAAGAAGAGAAACAATTCATGCATCCGCCTACACTTTATGTGACTGATAAAACTGTTTTACAGCAACGAGCAGACTCACCTCCCTCGTTGACTCTGCCCCAGCCAGTGACCCAGCTGTCAGTACCGTTGTTGAACACACTGTCACTGGCTGCCAGACACACAGGTCTGATGTAGTCTGTGAACATGACTGGTGAGGAGAGTCTGAGCAGAGCAATGTCGTTGTCGCTGCTGTCGCTGTCATAGTTTGGATGTAAAATGATTCTGGCAACAGTTCTGGACACTTCATTTGGGTTTGTGCCCTGCAGGTTCTGACGGCCCAGAGAAACCTGCCATCCAGACGTACTTGTACTAAAGTCAAAGTGACAAATATGAATTAGTTTGAAGATGAAAATCATCACCAAACACAGACTGAGACACACAAATACATCCTCTGTTATATAGTAGTTACCCACCTGGAGAAGCAGTGAGCAGCAGACATCACCCACTCTCTGTTGATGAGGGAACCGCCACAAACATGGCCGCCAAACCTCTGCAGACTGACCTGCCAGGGCCAACTTCCAGGTGGAGCATCTTCACCTCCAACTATCCTGGTGTTCAGGGGAGTGATGCCACACACTGCAAACAACAGGACATAGAAAATGGATCTAAAGTTAACCATACTCACCTTTAAACTAAAATTACATAATTTATTGAAAGTATATGAAGCCTGGAGAAGGTCTACTAACAAAGATATATTATTTAGTTACAAAAATCTAAAATGTAAATTAAATATGTTGCTCATTAACTAAAACCCATCAGTGTAAGATCTTGATTTTTTCCTGACTTTGGTAACTCCTAGTGGCAGTATGAGAAAAGACACTGTGGCAGACAGCAATGCATGAAGCTACCTCATCCCCCACATGAAGACGACACCAACATTCACTGGAATTGTAGAAATTCTTTCATAAAACTGTTATAAATTCAGATTAAAAAGAAATATGCAGTGATCACAAAAGCTCTTGAGAGTTGATTAACTAGTACTAAAAGCCAGTATGTGAAACTGTCTGCTCCAGGTCATTCTTCACTCTCACACTCAGGGGAGACAAACTGTGAATTTTTTAATTTTGCAGAGGGTCTCAATACATTACCAAACTGAGCAACAAGTGCTGAATGAAAAATGTAATAGGTTGTGAAATGTTGAGAATTCATGTCTGTTTTAAAAAGTTGGGTCATTGATAGTTTATAGTGTAAATAAGAGACAGAATGACCTGTGTGCTGTTTTCTATTTTCTGTGCTAGTCAGGATACTTACATTCAGCACTTGATACAGTGGATGGTGAATCTGTGGGTGTAGCTGGTCCTGCAGTAGTAGTAGTAGTAGTAATGAGAGGAGGTGGGAGACCAGGACAGGTGTAGCTGCTGTCAGCATCCGGCCCACTGGAGCTGAACTGGACAAAGCCTGGCTTATCAGAGCTGATGAAGGAGTTGATCCAGGACTGGTAGCGGGACACTCTGGAGTAGACTCCTGGCAGATTGGGACGAGCGCAGCCAAAACCAAAACTGACTATTCCAGACTGGACCCACACGGAGCCCTGTTTGCTCACCATTGGACCTCCTGAGTCACCCTGAGGAGATGGAGAGGACACGTCTGAGACGGCGAGGAAATCCTAAACACATTTACCAACAAGTGACAAATGAAAAGAAGCAGCTGACCTGACATGAGTCTTTGCCTCCTGCCAGAACACCAGCACAGATCATGTTGTCTGTGACTGTACCGACTCCATTGAGACAGTTACACTGTCTGTTTCCCAGAACTGGCACCTCCACCTCTTGTAGAGTTTGAGGGAACGGTAAAGACACTGAGAGACCAACAAGAAGAGAAACAATTCATGCATCCGCCTACACTTTATGTGACTGATAAAACTGTTTTACAGCAACGAGCAGACTCACCTCCCTCGTTGACTCTGCCCCAGCCAGTGACCCAGCTGTCAGTACCGTTGTTGAACACACTGTCACTGGCTGCCAGACACACAGGTCTGATGTAGTCTGTGAACATGACTGGTGAGGAGAGTCTGAGCAGAGCAATGTCGTTGTCGCTGCTGTCGCTGTCATAGTTTGGATGTAAAATGATTCTGGCAACAGTTCTGGACACTTCATTTGGGTTTGTGCCCTGCAGGTTCTGACGGCCCAGAGAAACCTGCCATCCAGACGTACTTGTACTAAAGTCAAAGTGACAAATATTAATTAGTTTCAAGATGAAAATCATCACCAAACACAGACTGAGACACACAAATACATCCTCTGTTATATAGTAGTTACCCACCTGGAGAAGCAGTGAGCAGCAGACATCACCCACTCTCTGTTGATGAGGGAACCGCCACAAACATGGCCGCCAAACCTCTGCAGACTGACCTGCCAGGGCCAACTTCCAGGTGGAGCATCTTCACCTCCAACTATCCTGGTGTTCAGGGGAGTGATGCCACACACTGCAAACAACAGGACATAGAAAATGGATCTAAAGTTAACCATACTCACCTTTAAACTAAAATTACATAATTTATTGAAAGTATATGAAGCCTGGAGAAGGTCTACTAACAAAGATATATTATTTAGTTACAAAAATCTAAAATGTAAATTAAATATGTTGCTCATTAACTAAAACCCATCAGTGTAAGATCTTGATTTTTTCCTGACTTTGGTAACTCCTAGTGGCAGTATGAGAAAAGACACTGTGGCAGACAGCAATGCATGAAGCTACCTCATCCCCCACATGAAGACGACACCAACATTCACTGGAATTGTAGAAATTCTTTCATAAAACTGTTATAAATTCAGATTAAAAAGAAATATGCAGTGATCACAAAAGCTCTTGAGAGTTGATTAACTAGTACTAAAAGCCAGTATGTGAAACTGTCTGCTCCAGGTCATTCTTCACTCTCACACTCAGGGGAGACAAACTGTGAATTTTTTAATTTTGCAGAGGGTCTCAATACATTACCAAACTGAGCAACAAGTGCTGAATGAAAAATGTAATAGGTTGTGAAATGTTGAGAATTCATGTCTGTTTTAAAAAGTTGGGTCATTGATAGTTTATAGTGTAAATAAGAGACAGAATGACCTGTGTGCTGTTTTCTATTTTCTGTGCTAGTCAGGATACTTACATTCAGCACTTGATACAGTGGATGGTGAATCTGTGGGTGTAGCTGGTCCTGCAGTAGTAGTAGTAGTAGTAATGAGAGGAGGTGGGAGACCAGGACAGGTGTAGCTGCTGTCAGCATCCGGCCCACTGGAGCTGAACTGGACAAAGCCTGGCTTATCAGAGCTGATGAAGGAGTTGATCCAGGACTGGTAGCGGGACACTCTGGAGTAGACTCCTGGCAGATTGGGACGAGCGCAGCCAAAACCAAAACTGACTATTCCAGACTGGACCCACACGGAGCCCTGTTTGCTCACCATTGGACCTCCTGAGTCACCCTGAGGAGATGGAGAGGACACGTCTGAGACGGCGAGGAAATCCTAAACACATTTACCAACAAGTGACAAATGAAAAGAAGCAGCTGACCTGACATGAGTCTTTGCCTCCTGCCAGAACACCAGCACAGATCATGTTGTCTGTGACTGTACCGACTCCATTGAGACAGTTACACTGTCTGTTTCCCAGAACTGGCACCTCCACCTCTTGTAGAGTTTGAGGGAACGGTAAAGACACTGAGAGACCAACAAGAAGAGAAACAATTCATGCATCCGCCTACACTTTATGTGACTGATAAAACTGTTTTACAGCAACGAGCAGACTCACCTCCCTCGTTGACTCTGCCCCAGCCAGTGACCCAGCTGTCAGTACCGTTGTTGAACACACTGTCACTGGCTGCCAGACACACAGGTCTGATGTAGTCTGTGAACATGACTGGTGAGGAGAGTCTGAGCAGAGCAATGTCGTTGTCGCTGCTGTCGCTGTCATAGTTTGGATGTAAAATGATTCTGGCAACAGTTCTGGACACTTCATTTGGGTTTGTGCCCTGCAGGTTCTGACGGCCCAGAGAAACCTGCCATCCAAACGTACTTGTACTAAAGTCAAAGTGACAAATATGAATTAGTTTCAAGATGAAAATCATCACCAAACACAGACTGAGACACACACAAATACATCCTCTGTTATACAGTAGTTAGCCACCTGGAAAAGCACTGAGCAGCAGACATCACCCACTCTCTGTTGATGAGGGAACCGCCACAAACATGGCGGCCAAACCTCTGCAGACTGACCTGCCAGGGCCAACTTCCAGGTGGAGCATCTTCACCTCCAACTATCCTGGTGTTCAGGGGAGCAGTGCCACATACTGGAAAACAGATCAGTGAGGCCACATGTGAAAAGCAAAGTCTGTCAAACTACTAAATCAATTAGTCAAAGAGATATTATGGAAATGATAAATAATATTTCCCAGGTTGTCATTGGGAAAGCAGATGGAACGTCTTAATAAATCCCAGCATTAAACAGTTGGAAAACTTCAAGGAAATGTAGAATAAAAAAAATGTCATACCATCAAGCTGAGCATGTGATTCTGGGAAAGAAGCAACACAAATGGGTTAGTCATAGTTATCTGACTATTGTAGCTATTTCTAGGCAAACGCTCCAAAAGAACAGAAATAGATTATTTTCTTCAGCTGCAATAAATAAATAAATAAATACAGTACATAAAAAGTGAAGGCTTCTGTTTATTCTCCTTTGGAATCAGTGTCACAATGTGGTTATAAATAAATTGTTTCTTAAATTATCCTTTTTCATAAAGACTATTTACGTTGTGATTCATTGTAGAAACTAGCATTTAAAAAGCTATAAAGTCATAACTAAGTCTACTTCTTAATTATATTTCAATGCTACAACATGTCAGAAGTTCACGTTTCTTGCAGCCAGCTATTTCATGTAAGATACATTACACCATAACGGACTGCATGTGATAGATTTATTTCCATACTTACTAATTCTGGTTATTCAGCTTTTAAAGACAGAATAAATTGGCAGAGATAATAATTGCCAAGTAATCACAAAAGAAAACACTTCAAAAAAGTGCTTAAGATTTTGGATGCTGCTGTTTATCTATGAAAGGAAAATCTGTAAATTATTTCAAGCTGGTACAACATAAGAACCAAAGTTCACCTACTGTCTTAGAATGATTTAACTAAGCTAAAGTTAAATAATTAATTCATAGTCATATCTTGAATTTTGAAAACATAAGATCAGCTGTTAACAGGATTTAATAAATTTAAGATATTGAATTAAATCAACTGTTCAGTCTTGCTGACAAATGTTACAGACATATTTGCTTTACATTCACATTTTCTCTGTTTGAAGAATCTGTTTTTCATTTCACCTGAAGAAGTCAGAGCTGTGGCTGCTCCTGCTGGAACACAGTCAGTAAACATACATGGGGATAATCTTCATTTTTAAATTGGTCTACCCACGTTTTGTTAAACAAGTCTCCCAGCATCTGCTGATAATCAAAGATGCTGAGCCGATCTAAAGTTTGACCTACCTGCAGGCAAAAGACTCGCCAGGGTCAATACGCAGAACCATTTCTTCAAAGCCATTGTGTGACTGAACGGTTTTTGTTTGTCCCTCTTTATATGCTTGGCTAGACGGGTCACCTGCTATGAGGTGTGCCCCTCCCACTGTGAACACTATTCAACATCCATTGAGATGAACAGTTTCCTTGTTCCTTCTGCTTAATTTTTGTGGAAAAGAAACCAAAGCATTCCAGTAATGTAATTTGATACTGTTTATGCCACTGTACTAACTACAAGTTCTTTAACTGTAAGAATTAAAGGTGATGTGAGGTTTACAACACAAACACACACGCACGCACGCACGCACGCACGCACACACACACAAACACACAGACACACACGCACAATTTAACTGTAGAAGAAATATTAGAATTTTTAATTTTCCTTTTTTATTTATTTTTTTGATGTGATATCTGAAATAAAACTTGGTTATAAGCAGCGGTTTTAATAACAGAGTTCTGCCCCTTTCATAGTCTGACCCTCATTTCTTCAATGTCCCTATCAACAGCTTGGAGTGGAAAAAACAGTCAAATATGAGACCTCTGCACAACCCAGCGTGAGAGACAACAAATACCTGACATGTCACACGCTTGTACAGACGGCAGTGGAACATTTTCACAAGAAGTGACAAAAGTGTCTGCTGTCATTGTTTTTGTAACAATGGTGCATTTCAGCTTCAGCTCCTTGGCTTGAGATTAAATGGTATTTCAGAGACAAAACATGTCATGGTTATGTAACTGGTGTCATGCTCACTACCTGTTGTAATGCAACGGTGGCAGGACGTAGCAATCAGGCTGCTCATGACATTTATAGCTCATTTAAAAATACACACATTTCTAATATATCTAATCAGATTGAAAGGAATATATCTACAGTATGATGTCAGTGGATTGAATAAGTAATGCGTGCTTTCATCTTGAGTAATCCAAAGTAGTCTACTCTAACTCATAACACAAACCACTGGCATTCATCATTCATCATGATTAAAAATAACAATTATCAGACAGGGGTAATGGGGTTTGTTGGACAGAAAGGGGTTAATCAGCTGCAGTGTTGTCATCTCAGCACACAAACAAACATGTCAAATGTGAATGTCATTCACAGATATACTTAAACATTTCTACCAGCACCTTTAAACTACAACACATCACCGACAGCATGTATTTGACCTGTCTGTCAGCACAATGCATAAAAAAAGCTCCACAAAGGGAGAGGAATTCAGGCAGCTCCTGCTGACATGTTGATGACGTGATGCTCACGTAACAACAAACAATCGGTTTCCTCTAAGTTCATGTTAGAGCTGAAACCATTTCACTTCATCCATCATTTTCTATGTTTTGTTTAAGTGCAAATATGCATTTCGACAGTAAGGAGAAAGACCTTTTCAAATGCAGTTACATAACATACCTTGCATACTGTTAGCTTGAAACTTGGGTTAACTTAATGGCCAATGAATTGTCATGTTCGGACATATTAATGACTTTCGTTGTCATTTAGCACAGAAAAGTGTTTAAAACACCGTTAGTCCAGCTTCCAATAAGAGAAAAGATGCACAAAACACTTTATTTTAATACAAATTCATATGCAAATACTACTGTCCTGAGATGTAGAAGACGTAGATGGCCACATGCTGAAGTGGCATTGATTTCTGTTTTTTTATTCAAGAGAGAGAAAGTAACAAAGGAAATAGAAGCTGGTAGATACTTGCTCAAGATGAGTCATTTCATTGTTAATAATCAATGAATATTGAAATTCTTTGTTGTCACACATGCTTTCCAGTACATTAAACTGGCAGTAATTTGAAAAAGTCTGCCATCCAAGTTTTTCCTACTTCCTGGAATGATTGCTTGGTCAAACATACCTGAGAAGTGCATTTAATTATTATAATCACAGGCAGTGATTGTTTTACTTATTGTAGTGGGATTCACTTACTCACTTAATTAATTAGTTAATTAATTTGTTGAAAGAAGAGAAAACAGGGACAAAGAAGTGATGGGAGACTGTGATTTAAGAAGTGACTGTAGAGGACGAACTACCAAAGGAAACAAAAATCAACATTTTGTTAAACAGGACATTTACTGTATGTAACTTTCTTGGTCTGACACGTTATCATCCGTCACAAATACTAATGTTGTCACAAAAAATCTGGATGTTATCACAGAAAGTCTGGGGCCTCTTGAAGTGGATAATTAAGCTAATTAAACTCAAGAGATTTGTGCAGACACACCCAATGAAGGAAGTTCAGAAGTTCAGTGTCGCTACTTTATTTCAGTGGCTGGAACATGCAAATATCATGGTCACGATTTTACACCAGACCACTGTCTTAGGTAGAAGCAAAACACTCAACCGTTGTTTGTGATCATTATTTGAAATGAGGACAAGCAGCCATGTCATGGTGACGTGAGGATTTACACATGACAACTGAGTGAGTCACCCGTTATTAAGAGTCCTCTTAGATTTTATGGAAAATTTCTCTGAGCGGAAGGAAAGTGTGTGAAGGGGTTGAGTAAAAGAGTAAATAATCATGTGAGGGTTTCAGATCATCCTACAATCAGAGAAAAAGCTAAAATTAGACACGAATGTTTATTTGTCAGCAGGAATACGCAACTACTGAACTGATTTGCTCCAAACTTGGTGGAGAGATGTGGCACTGGCCAGAGAAGAACCCGTGAATACTTAGGGCAGACACAGATCATTTACTGAGAATTTGAATTTTTTTTCTCTGACGTCTGGTGTATGTTGTTTGACGTTGGTCTTGGTGGAAGTCTGCGCTGGTTTTGTTACGACAACAGTTTTTGTTGATTTTCTCCCAAAATGCCATCTGTCCACACTACAAGCCATGAGGAACACTGACAATAGCCACTGAAACCCACAGCTGACAGTCACCTCAGCTAAGGTGTAGACTCAAAAGGCATTTTGTGAAACACCCTGTGTGAGCGTTCACAGCCATCCATTCATTTCAAGTAGAGGTGGAACAACCATGTCATGTCAACATGTCAACTTGTCATTATCATTCAGTCCGTCTATTATTTCCTCACTTGATCAGCTAATTGTTTAATGTTTAAAATGTAAGAAAATGGATAAAAATCCGTCCCAGTTCTCCCAGGGTCACGGTGACGTCTTTTTTTATGTCAATATTAATTTTACAAAGACATAAAGCAGAGAAAAGCGGCACATTTTCTTCTTCTTTTTCTTAAAAAATGATTGATCAATTATCACAGAATTTTCCAGATAATTGTGATTACTTAACTAATCTATCTAATCAATCTAACTTTAAGTATCAAAATGATGTTTTTCATGTCAGCTGACAGAATGCAATACGACCCATGCCTCTGCACTTTCATAAGAGCTGGGACATCTATTTTCTTTTTTAAATAGTCTTACTTTAGAGTTTTTTAAAAAATGTTTTCAGTTTATTAAAGATGCTTCATCCATCTACTTTCCATCATCTGCAGTGTTTATTTGCAATGTGATAATATCATAGTAGCAGAATATTTTGCAAGTAAAGAGTCACATTTTCCAGGAGAACATGCTTTTGTAGATATTCTTTTATGTTTTTTATCTTGTTAGTCTTTGGTTTATTTTCTTTATTTAATAAAGTGGTTAATCAGCCACATGTTTGTGCAGTGTTGGACTCTGCACTCTGTTAATCCAGATAAAAGAGCATTGTGGACAATGGACAAGTGGACAATGTGATTACTCATCAGATGCTCTGATGACAGACACTTTGGTCTGTGGTAGCAGAGGGGAAGTCATACAGTCATACTGATGTAATAACTAGGATGACTGGACAACATGATTCTAAGAAATGGAAATGATTCACATTTCACCAGAATAAACCAAATGAAAAATAAAAAATAAAAAAAATGAAAAAAATAAAGCAAGAATTGACATATAGCCTACCGCTATCCATAAATGGATATCTGACTGGAAAATAGAATTATTTTAGAAATGAATGGATTTATCCATAAATGGATAAATTCATATTTGGTCAATAAAAAGAAAAATCATTAAAAGTTAGATTCCTAATTAGAAATAGGAATCAGTTTCTGGAACGCTTTATAACCATTTTTTTGACACTTGTGGTTCTGTGTACAATGCACACTTTATTGGTAGATTGTCAGCTCACTAGTCAAATAATGTTGTTCAAAAGCGTAAAAGGAAAGCAAACATTTCTACCTTTATGTCTCCAACTGTAGGTGAGTTTCCTTTTAATCTTTTATCCTGCACTTCATATTTGTCATGTAGCCCCAGCTGTCCATCTAGTATTTGGTGTTCATAATTCTCAGTCAGTGCACAAAGCACTTGATGGTTTAACCACTGATGTTATTCAACTACTATAGCAAATTCAAAAGGACTAAGGTGGAATAATTAAAATCTACAATCCTACATGAGTGTTGAGAGTGTTGAGTGCTTTGGACACTCTCAGGTTCACGCCCATGTCCATGTCCAGCCTACATCACTATGGGTATGAGGGGTTACAGCAGCAGTGGTTTACACCTTGCAGATGTGGACAATGCACCACCAACGTCCATCTCAGTAACAGCTTCTGCAAATTTGACGCTTGAGCTACATGCAGGCAACGAGTGTCAGAAAACCCCCTACCCTCCAGACTGCTGCAGCTTTTTTTCTTTTTTTTTTCAGCTATTGTTTCTCCATGTGTGATTAGGGTTCTACTCTCCCCTCCAAAAGTATGGAACAGTGAGGCCAATTCCTTTATTTTTGCTGTAGACTGAAAACATTTGGGTTTGACATCAAAAGATGAATATGAGACAAGAGATCAAGATTTCAGATTTTATTTCCAGGTATTTACATCTGGAGCTGATACACAACAGATAGCATTATTTGTAACGGAAGCCCAAATTTTTAGGTGAGCAAAAGGACTGGAACAGATAGACTTAAAATAGATTAAAGTGTATAAGACTTAATATTTATTTGCAAATCCTTTGCTTGCAATAACTGCATCAAGCCTTCGACCCATTGACATCACCAAACTTTTGCATTCTTCTTTTGTGATGCTTTTCCAGGCTTTCACTGCAGCCTCTTTCAGACGTTGTTTATTTTGGGGGGTTACTCCCTTCAGTCTCCTCTTTAGCAGGTAAAATGCTCTATAGGGTTTAAGTCTGGAGATTGACTTGGCCAGTCTAAAACCTTCCACTTCTTGCCCCTGAGGAACTTCTTTGTTGTTTTTGCAATGCGTTTTGGGTCATTATCTTGCTGCATGATGAATAATCTCCCAATCAATTCTTCTTCTTCTTATTCTTCTTGCTAATGAGTGGTTTGCATCTTCTGGTCTAGCCTCTGTTCTTTTGTTCATGAAGTCTTCTGCGAACAGTAGATTCTGATACCTTCACTCCTGCCCTCTGGAGGTTGTTGCTGATGTCACTAACAGTTGTTTTAGGGTCTTTCTTTACAGCTCTCACAATGTTTCTGTCGTCAACTGCTGCTGTTTTCCTCGGTCTACCCATTCGATGTCTGTTACTTAGTACACCAGTGGTTTCTTTCTTCTTCAGGACATTCAAAATGGTTGTACTGGCTATGGCCAATGTTTGTGCAATGGCTCTAATTGATTTTCCATCTTCTCTCAGCTTCACAATTGCTTTTTTTTCACCCATAGACAGCTCTCTGGTTTTCATGTTAGTTACACTTCTAACTATAAATGCTATATATAAAAACTATAAAATCCAAATCTGAAACTGAGCGTAGATATTCAGCGCTATTTATTGTTTGAATAATCAATGTAATAGGACACATCTGGGCAACAATACACACCTGTCAGTCACATGTTCCAATACTTTTGCTTACATGAAAAATGGGTGTGTTCAAAATAAAAGGTGCTATCTTCTAAGTTGTGTATCAAATCCAGATGTAAATACCTGGAAATAAAAGCTGAAATGTTGATCTCTTGTCTCATATTCATCTTTTGGTGTCAAACCCAAATGTTTTCAGTCTACAGCAAAAATAAAGGAATTGGCCTCACTGTTCCAATACTTTTAGAGGGGAATGTATATTCACTATTTACGCCAGCAAAGTCTGAGTTTTATCACTTTGAGCAACTTAGCTATTGTATACAGGACAGACTTTATATTATCAGGGTGTTACTGTGTTGATCTGTGCAGGACTGTGCCTCTAGAGAGAGGGTATGAAGCTGCATTCAACAGTGCAACTTGCTAAATGTGATTGAGCAAACTTGTGAATATGTGACTTCAAATACAAACTTGTTCCTTGAGGCGCCTTTTATCTTAAAGCTTCTAAAAGGCCTTACTATTGCTTTAGGCTTATGAAAACAGTTTCACAAGGCTTTTTGTTTTATCCTTGTTATTTTCAGCCATATGTGAAATACAATTACTAAAGCTGACCATCCTTCACCATGAATTACATGCTAATATTGATTTCATGGCTGAGTCCATCAGGTATTATGAAATAAGACATTTCCCTCACAAAGGGTAACCGTCCTTACATCTTTAGAGAAAGCAGCCAAACAGCTCTGGTGTTATTTGAATTGAATTGAAATAATATTCTGCATTTGGCTCCATCTACTGGTAAGACTGGGTAACTGCAGGACACTCAGCCTGTGCATATTCTCACTTGTCCAGGTCATAGTATCCTAAAGGAGTTTAAATCAAAAAACAACTGGACTTGATTATTTGTCTGGGAAGACGTTTCACCTCTCATCCAAGAGGCTTCATCATTTCATGTACGCATCTGACCAGGCTGGGACTGGTCTAACTTTTTGGTGTGGAGACCCAGGTATTTAACCTCTTGTGGGCGTTCACAAGGCTGATGATGTCACTGGTTCCCATTTGTGCTCCAAGTGTCAACGACAGTCGTTTGCATGACTGACGTTGGTGGAAAGTTGGTTTCGACTTCGTTAGTGCTCTATTGTGTTATAACGACAGACGTTGGAGTCACTTGGGATCAACAACAGTCGTTTGCATGACTGTCGTTGGTGGAACAGGACACTGTTTTTTTTGTTTGTTTGTTTTTTTTAACCACCTAGTAATATACTGTACACTAGTGTATCCAGATTTAGGATTTATGTGGACTTCACAAGCCAGGCTTAAATCACATGAGACAACAGGTCGTGTTGAAAAATGTGTAATTAGCATCAAAATGCAAACTGATATACAAAAATCACTGCTGCTTTATAAGGTTTGTGTTCTGAAAATCATCTTATAAATCTCTGTAGATGCACATCCAGTCCTGTATCTCTAAAAAAAAAAAAAAAATACTGTGGGAGAATTTACTTTTCAGATCCAGTGTGGCTTCAGCTGAGCAGAAAAAAAAAGAAGGTGGTGAATTTCACAAACTAGCACGCTCTATCCAGCCTTTTCCTTCATTCCTTCAATTGCCCTCCGTCGTTTGAGGTTGGTGAAGAACAATGCAAAGTTGATAATATATGTTGACACGCAGACCATGCAGAAATCCCCCAGAACAAAGGCAAGAATAGCTGCGAGATAGAGCGAGCCGGCCACTGACACCCAGGAGGAGAGGACCAAAAACAATGCTGCTTTCTTGGACAGTGACAATCCTGCAATAGGGACAAAAAGGAGGATTTCAGGCCATTAATAAAAGACACTACAAAGGAAATATTTGGGAAATCCTACATAAACTATGACTGATTGCTTGACCTAACTGCAAATAATAATTTTGAGTAACAATCAAATATAATGATTTGCTTATATCTCACCGTTTCAAAAGACAAAATATATAACAAAATATGCAATACTGAAATATCATGAGTTCAGTGCCAGTCATGGTTCACAAATGCTGGAATAGAGACAATATTTCTACCTAACAACACAGCACTGCACTATAATTTACAGAAGACAATGACAGACTAACCCAGGCCCATCTGCAGAGTGTAAAATATGATGCCAAGCAAACTGTTGGGCTGGTTCAGAGGACTATCTTTGGCCACGAAGAACTGGACCAAACCAAAGCCACGTCCCCATCTGCCAAGAAAAGAAAGGGGAAACAGTTAGAACAGCACATTATTGAAAAGATAAGATATCACTGCTTTATAATTTGCATAACAAATAATCAGACATGTTAAAATTATTTTATGAAAAGCAGTTTGACAGGAAAAGTCAAGGGATATCCACTTGGTATTGTCACAATGTAAAATAGCTGATGTGAAGCATTTCCAGAGGAATTTAACACGTGGCAACGAAAGAGGTTGGAGCTGCCATCAAATATTCACATTTCACAGTTTACAGGCAGAATTTAAAAAAGAAAAAGAAAAAAAAGAGCATTGCTCAATAGAGAAGAGGCACAACAGCGCACACATGAAACACTGAAGCAAAATCTGGAATAAAAAGAAATTAAAAAAAAAAAAAAGAACTTACCTGGAGGTAAAAACCTTGGAGCAGCTCACAGACTCCCCCAAGTCGCACATCGCCCTGTAATCTGGGTTTCTCTCTCGGGAAAGCTCGACGTGAAGCGCATAAACAGACAGCACCAAACCAAAAACGCACAAGAAAATCCGCATTTTTCTCTCCCATTTTGGTATCCCCTGGTTACCAGCCGGTGCCATCTTGTTATAAGACACTTTAGATTTATATCACGACTCCAGAAAGTTATAGGAGATGAATAAAAAGTCGGCTTCAGGATTTCCTTTCAAACTTCAGTAAGTTGTCCCTCAAAGTGAAGGCGACGTGTTAAAAGACAGATTCTTACTTTTGATTGGTCCGGTCGACTGTTACCGCTGCCTGTCATTGGATAGCTGCGTACAGATGTTGGACCAGCCAGAGGGGTGTCTCCTGTGTATTTACTGTGGACTTCAGTCTTTCAGGCCTGTGGGGAAAATGTAACTACTGCCCTCACTGTTGGTGCTCATTCAAAACATCAGTACATAATTACTGCACAACACTGTCCCTCATGTATAATCAGTAGTGGTGGAGGAAATAGGCCTACTCAGATTTACTTAAAAAGTAGCAATGCCAAAGTGTAAAAATAGGCTACTCCATTACAAACAAAACTCCTGCATTCAAAATTTTACAGAGGTTTTATCAGTTAAATAAATAAAGTCACAAAAGTCAAAGTAGGCTACTCAATATGCATTACATTACTGGGTATTACATTACTTCCTTACCAGTTTTGGGCAAAGCTGGAACCAACCAGGCTCCAAAAAGCTCCAGGTTCACTGTCAGCTGGTTATAATTAATTTGATTATCTGGTTAAAGAAATAAAGAAAGAAAGAAAGAAAGAAAGAAAGAAAGAAAGAAAGAAAGAAAGAAAGAAAGAAAGAATCACTTACAAAATCAGCACCTCTAAGGAACAATAACAACTAAGATGGGTCCTGCATTTTAATTTGACAGGGGTCCTTTGTGTAGTTTATTATGCTAACATGGTGCATATTCCTAAAATGAAATCAATCAATATATCAATTTATCTGTCTATCTTTTCTACTGTCTACCAGGCTCTCTGTTTATGATCCAGTACTGTTGTTATTGCAATTAGATAAGTTATTAGGTCTACTTTTATTCGTAATAGCAGTAGAAGGTAATTGGTCTACACGATTATTATTCTAGGTCCATCACACATAGAAACAGTGTATGTAAGTGCTTTAAGTAATTTCGTCCAAATGTAGCTCCTCCTAAACTAGTTAACTTCTGGAAAACATCGTCACCACCACCCAAAAAACAGAGACCCTACTATCTGCGAAGGACTCCACCCTCCCACCACGTCCTCTGTTCCTATTCGACAGTCTCTCTGACGTCGCCTCATCTCATTGGTCCGCCACATATCACTCAAACGGAACACGGAACTGTAACGAGGAGGCGGTAGACAAAAACAAGACATAGCTGCGTTACTACGGGATTAAAAACATGGTTTCAGATGTTGTGGTTGGTTCAAATTGTGAAAGTCTCTTCTGTTGATGAGAAGCACGTCTCCGTGATGTCGCGTTTTGGCTATATAACCGAGGAATACATGGTTCAACGTACCTAGAAAACCCGAGCTTCAGGTAACTAGCCTACGCCCCTGCGTCAAAAAAAGTGGGTAAGGTCTTTATCATGGAGTTAGTTTATTTAATTCCTCTGTTGTACAGGAAGTAGCGGTACCTGAAAGACAGCTCCTCACGGGCTTGCCCTCTGTCTGTTTGTAAGCAGCTGTAATGTAGACGCGTCTTTGGACCGAGAGCTACAGGTTTTGGCCACTTGACTGCCAGGCCTAACGGGTGTGATGTCACGCCTCGTTTTTGTCCTATCAGCTCGTTTTAATGCTCATAGGTATTACATTATGCCTCATTGTTTCATAGTTGCTGACAAAGCAAGGACTGAATATTGCAGGGACACAGGTAAATTGCTGGTGACTATCAGACAACAATGGGCCACTTTTATGTATGTCACGTTTTCCCACCCTAAACAGAAGGTGCTGTAATGTTTTTTATCGACTGTAACACTTTCACTTTGTGCTGCAACTAAATTATTATTTTCATCTTTGATTGATCTGCTTTTATTATCATGTCTATTAAGTATCAAAACATAGCAAAAACATTCCCCATAGCGTAAAGAGTCATACAGGGCAAACAAGCAGGAAATGCTCACATTTGAGAAGCTGGAACAAGATATTTTTTGGCATTTCTGATCGACAGTGAAACGATTCATCGATTATCAAATTAGTTTCCAATTCATTTTCTGTTTATCGACCAATTAGTCAATTAATTGCATAATTATTAATTATTGCACTTCTAATCTGGGCACTAAATTCAAATTTTCCCCCGTTCTTTATTGCTAAATAGCTCAAGCTTTGTCAGGTTGCATGGGTGGAGTGAGCAGCCCTTTTCAAGTCAAGGCACAAATTACATTAAATGTTGTGACATAAAAAAACATGCAAACTTCCAAGGAGGGTGAATACATTTAAGAGGCACTGTAATTAACCCTAATTGCCCAGCCCCAATTGTATTTAACAGCACTAAAAATGGATTACAAAAGTGCCAGACTTGCACACATGAGCAGTAAAAATAACATTGCCTCACTAACATTACATAACCTGTAAGATGATATCAACAAATACCTCTCACTTTTCTATTTTTGATTCTTTACAGAGACAATGTCGACGAAGGAGGGTGGAGAATGTAAAAACGGTCAAACTGTGGCCATGTCACCCGAAAGAATGGCGACCGACAAAAGCAGAGAGAACCAGAACCAGCGTGGAGTCGAGGCAACGGGAGGCACCACAGACACCAGCACAACAGCAAAAAACTTGGCTTTGCTTAAAGCACACTCTCTGGATGTGAAGTTCGACGTTGGAGAGGAGTACGATGTCATAGAAACCATCGGCACAGGAGCCTATGGAGTCGTTTCATCTGCCAGGAGACGGGACAATGGTAGGGCTGATTTGATGAAGAACACACTGTAACTCATTCTGTATGTAAATTCACTGACCTTGACAAACTCAGTTGTACACCCTGTCCTTCTATTTTTTCTCTGAATCATATTTGTGTTTCACAGGCCAGCAGGTGGCAATAAAGAAGATCTCCAATGCTTTTGAAGTGGTGACAAATGCCAAACGCACATTGCGAGAGCTCAAGATTCTCAAGCACTTCAAACATGACAACATTATTGCCATCAAAGACATCCTGCAGCCAAACCTTCCCCACTCTGCCTTCAAGTCTGTGTATGTACACACACACACACACACACACACACACACACACACACACACACACACACACACACACACACACTATTCTATCAATTTAAATAGTTCAGTTTTCTGCTCATCGAGAGGATTAAGTAAGACTGATCAAGTATTATTACAAAATTTGAATCTGAAAAATGTATGAATTTGGAAATTGAAAACATGAAACTGATACAATTTGAAACCATTTCATCAATACATCAAAATACCTCAGTTCTGATCGTCATGTGAGCAGATTGTGCACCTATTAAATGAAGCTCATCTCACTTTAACATTTCCCATGTTTGCAGGTACGTGGTGCTGGACCTCATGGAGAGCGACTTGCACCAGATCATACACTCTGCCCAGACGCTCACCCCAGAGCACACGCGCTACTTTCTATACCAGCTACTCCGAGGCCTTAAATATGTGCACTCTGCCAACGTCATCCACCGTGACCTCAAACCCTCCAACCTGTTGGTGAACGAGAACTGTGAGCTAAAAATCGGCGACTTCGGCATGGCGAGGGGTCTCAGTTCGCACCCTGAGGAGTCTCATTCCTTCATGACTGAATATGTGGCAACTCGATGGTACCGTGCTCCTGAACTCCTGCTGTCTCTGAATCACTACACTTTGGCCATCGACTTGTGGTCTGTGGGCTGCATCTTTGCGGAAATGTTGGGGCGTAAGCAGCTTTTTCCTGGGAAGCACTACGTCCACCAGCTCCAGCTCATTTTGTCCGTGTTAGGCACTCCTCCTGAGGGTTTAATTGGTGCTATTAGAGCTGACAGAGTACGCTCCTATGTTCAGAGTCTTCCATCACAGTTGGCTGTGCCTTTGGCCAAACTCTACCCACAAGCTGAACCGCAGGCTTTGGACCTGCTGGGGGCCATGCTGCGCTTTGACCCTCGTGAACGGATCAGCGTGACACAAGCGCTGGAGCATCCTTACCTGTCCAAGTACCACGACCCAGATGATGAGCCAATTTGTGTGCCAGCTTTCGACTTTGAGTTTGACAAGCTTCCCATGAACAAGGAACAAATTAAAGAGGCCATTCTGATGGAGATCCAGGACTTTCATAGAAACAAACAGATCTGTCGTCAGAGGCTGCAGTTCAGGCCTTTGCCGAGGGTGAACGGCGGAGCTGCAGCACAAAGCAGTAACCAGTGTAATGCTCAGGCCTCGACTGTCAACCTGACCAAATCCACATTGGTTCCCATGGCACAACACTCACAGGCAGCACAGATACAGCAGCAGCAAATGAGTGAGGTGAAATCTCAACAGCAACAAGACCGCACACCAGCAAAAGGGGGCTGTGCATTCACAAGTCAGATGCAAAACTTTAATAAGTCCACATCTCTTTTAGAAGTTGCCCCGCCTCGTGTGACCCACAACTTGCCTCTCCTCTCTAAAAATGTAAGTGTCCCAGTTGATGTGGACATGCCCAGTGCCAACTCAGACAGCGGTCAGCCAGAGACTATAGATTTAACAACGCCAGTGTCAAGTCAGGATGGCCCCTCAGAAACAATGAGAGACAGTGAGGCACAGGAGCAGCTAACCAGCAGTCAAGCTTCTCTGACTCAGCCCACCCAGGGCCAGTCCATGACCCCAGCTCCCACCAGTATTCCTGCAACGCAAGCACAGACCCTGACACCCCTACCCACCACTGTGCCTTCCCTTTCTCTCTCTGTGGCACAAGCCCAGTCACTGTCTCAGTCCCTTTCACAGTCACTGTCCAAGAATGCCAGGCCTCCTCCATGTGCAGGAGAGGGAACCAGAAAAGAAGGAGCAATTTCAGAGGATACTAAAGCTGCACTTAAAGCAGCTTTATTGAAATCAGCTCTCAGAAATAAGTCCAGGGGTGGTAAGTTTATTGTATTCAATGTCTGTTTTTTTTGTGTACTATTGCACACGTCATCCTTTAGCTTAATTTGATGTCTTCATTGCAGATGGAGGTACGTCTGCACTGGGCATGGATGCTGGTGGAGGAGGTATATTGTCCTCCCTGTCGTCTGTTCCAGAGTCGCGTCGGCCTGTCACAGCTCAGGAGCGTCAACGAGAAAGAGAGGAGAAGAGAAGGAAGAGGCAGGAACGAGCAAGAGAGAGGGAGAGGAAAATGAAGGAAAAGGAGAGAAGAGAGGGAAAGCAGGGGGACTCGCTGGGCGGGGTTCTGCTGAGTGACAACGACAAAAGCCTTTTGCAGCGTTGGACAAAGATGATGGACAGTCGCAATGAGAAATCTCAGATTTCTAGTAACGATGGAGCAAAGAATAAGGACTGTAATGTGACCACACACCGGGGCGTAACTATCGGTGATAACACTCAAGGAGCTCTGAACAATAACACGGACAAGGAGGTGAGGATTCAGTCTCACGAACAGTTAATCTCACAAGTCAAGCCTAACCAGCCGAGCTTGTTTCAGCCTCCCAGCACCCAGCAACCATCATTACTTTTCTCCATGAGCCAGAGGAAACCTCCAGCGGATATAGTTGTTGCTGTAAGTGGAGGGATAGATATAATGACCGTCACTGGTGGCTTTGTTAAAAACAACACGCTCAAACCTCACAATGAGAGCAACGGACAAAGTGGGTTCAACTGTTTGGGGAATTGGAGCGGCCAGCAATTAGAGACAAGGCCACTTCAACAACCACAGCAAAACAGGAAACAGCAACCTCTACCGTCGAGCTTTCTTCAGCCACAGCTACAACCTCAAAGTCAAACCCAACCGGACCCCCAACCTCAGTCGCAGCTGCTTCCACTGGAGAGTTTTCTGACTAAAGCTCCAACACTTACCTCCAGAGAGACAAATGGGAATGTGGATATCAGCGGCCAAAACAACCTCAACTCCCACTCGACTACAAGCGCTGGGCCAATGGAGAAGCTGTGTCCCACTGCAGGGGAGAAATCGGGGCCACAGACCACAAACCCTCTCTGTGGGGCTTTAGGAGTCCCATCACAGCCTCATCCCAGCTTGGGATTCACAGATACAGGACAGCAAGGGCCCTCTACTGCCCCTGACATCCACACAGTAACACTGCAGCTGTCAAAGTCTCAGGTTTGTGTCAGGTTTCTTTTGCCGTGTTGTGATATATTCTACTGTTCTTCTGAAGTAGGATTTGGCCTAAGAGAAGTGACAGTATATGTAATAACAGAGCACTAGTGTTGCTTTCATTATAGATGTACAAAAAGATGATTTTCTTCTACATATATACAAGCCTTAAATGTCACAATCTTCTGCTTGCCTTGAACTTATGTGAAGGATACAAAGTACAGTTGACCTAATGTTTCCCCCCTTTCTCCTGTCAGGTGGAGGACATTTTACCCCCGGTGTTCTCGGTCACCCCTAAAGGCAGTGGCGCTGGCTACGGCGTGGGCTTTGACCTGGATGACCTTCTCAACCAGTCTCTCACAGACCTGCAACACTGTGACCGGGACAGGTGAGGTCTACAGCATGAGCTTGTTCCGATACTCTGAGTTTTATTACCTGCAGCTGTGTATTTAGTT